ATGATTTCAGAATTGTGTTTTATTTTTTTGTTTATTTTTGTAGGTAATATTTTGTTTAGGAAATTAATTAATAAAGCAACATTTCTTATCAAAATTCTTTTCATTTAAGTTTTTAAATTTCCAATAAATACTTTTGTTACTGGGTCTAGAAAAAGGTTTTTGAAAATTACAAAATTATGTTTAAATATTAATTAATTATTATTTATGTAGGATTTTGTTATTAAATCTAAAAAATGTTTGTTATTAGCTTCAAATCAGACGGGGAAGAGAGTATATGTGTGAGTTCGAGCGCTCTTGCGCCCTGCACAGGTGAAATTACGTTACCTGGTGTCCAAAGGCTTAATAGAAAAATAAAATAATTCCTCAAAAGGCAACTCTCAACGGGTGAACACTAGGGTGGGTCGATTTTTGAATTTTAAAACGCCTGTGTAAGGAAAAGTTGTGTATGGGACTAAAAAAATATAGGAATTTTTATTTTTTTTAATTTAAAATTTAACCCCCTGCCGGCCCTTCAAAAATTATAAAATAAAAAAATTTAAAATTAAATTTGCCTGTACTAAAAATGTTTTCGTAATTGTTGTTTATAAACGCAAAATAATATATTTTTATAATTGGAATGCATTAACATCCCCCGCCCGATTTATTTATAATATTTAGACGTATGTATTTTTATATTTTTATTTTTTATTATAGTATATATATATATTGTATTTTAATCACCTTTTTGTATAAATTAAATATTTAATATTATAAAATATAATATATTTTTATTTTCAATTATAAATATGGCGGCGGGCGTAAAGCCTAAGGTTTCTACTCGGCAGTCGTTTCGCGATGCCGTATTTGGTGAACCTCGTGACTTAAGTGAAACGGTACTGCCGTGTTATGGAGATGTAATGCGGTATTTTCTATTTGTACAAAACAATTTAAGTGGACACACCACTAAAAATAAAACTGTTGCTGAGATTTCCAAACTGGTAGTAGACAAGGTACAAACAATTTGGTGGAAAGCCAGTTTGCCTACTATATTAAACCAGCAATGTGTTGCACTACTTAAAAAATATCACAAACAATTCATGGATCTTAAAAAATCTCTAAAGAAAACAAGTAGTTATGCCCGAAATAAATTACAATGTATCCAAAATGAATCGAATAAAAAGCTTTTCGATATTTCGACATGCAAATGCAAATAACTTTCATCGTGTAGTAGTAGTAGTATGTATGTCAAGTTAAAGAAGGTCCCTAAATTAGAACATGAATTTTTAAAAGATCAGAGAACCAAAAGAATAATGTTTATGGGAAAAGTGGATGCCAAAAGCACTAGAGTTTTAAAGCAAAGGCTAGAAAGAAAAGGAGAAACAGCTAGCTGCAGTGGTTTGAAGTCCGAGGCAAAAACTCAACCTAACGAAGTTTTTTCAGACTCATCATCGCAGCAGGATACCGATTCCGATGAAGAATTTAATCCAACATCCTCTACCAGCGCAAAAGACATATCACTTGCCCTACCGTCACTTGCAAAAGCAATAGATCGAGCAGGATTATCGAGTCGCAAAGGTGCAATGATAGCCAGTGCAGTCCTTGAGGATGTTGGTTTAATCACAAAAAGTGACACATCTTATATAATCGATAAGTGTAAATTGGATCGCCAAAGAAAAAGAGCTCGGCTCGACTTACAAAAAAAAAGTGCAGAGGACGGCAAAATTTTACAAGCCCTTTATTTTGATGGACGCAAAGACCGCACCTTCCACATAAAAAAGCAAGAAAGCACATCATCTAGAAAAACTGTTGTTGAAGAGCATGTAGTTTTAATCCAGGAGCCTGGTAGCAATTATTTGGGACATGTGACACCTGAAAACGGGACGGCTAAAAAACTTGCATCAAGTATTCTTAGTTATATTGACAAAGCTAGTATCTCTACATCCGAGCTTGTTGCTATTGGCTGTGATGGGACAGTAGTGAATACTGGACCCCACGGTGGGGTTATTCATTTATTGGAATCACATCTCAAACGACCTGTGCAGTGGCTGATATGCCAACTGCACGCAAATGAGCTGCCACTCCGTCATTTGCTTCGACATCTAGATGGCGATACTAAAGGTCCTGCTTCATTTTCAGGCCCCATTGGAAAACTTCTTGAATCATGTGAGAAGTTACCGGTCGTTCATTACAAAAAAATCTGGACAGAATTACCTACTGTAAACTTAGCAGAACTCAGCACTGACCAAAAATATTTATACCTAATATGTCAGCTATATCTACAGGAAACTATCCAATTAGTTTAGCAAATAAAGCACCGGGTAAAATGACTCATGCGAGATGGCTCACTACTGCTAATCGGATTTTACGGGCTTATATTGGAACGGAGACTCCACCCACCAATCTTAATATTCTAACTGAGTGTATGCAAAGGTTTGGTTTTTAGTAAAATATTCATCTTTATGCAAAAATGGGGCTCAGCACTTGTGGAAGCTGATTCAGTTCTCAAGATATTTAAGCGACGAGTTAAAATCTGTAATTGATCCATTGATTCAAAGGAACGGCTTTTATGGGCATCCAGAAAATATTTTAATTTCCATGATATTTGACCCACGCCGACATATAAGAGAACTGGGATTTAGGAAAATTATGAAATTAAGATTAACGGCTAACAACAATAAAAAGTCAAACGATACAGTTAGAAAATTTCAAATTTCTTCATTTAACTTTGATTCTGAGTGTTATATTGGTTTAATAAACTGGCAAGAGTGCACCATTACAGAACCTCCACTTACCAAATACCTATCTGATCAAACTATTGAGGATTTTATTAAGACCGGCGATTTTCCTAAAGAAGATCTGTGGAAACTACCCTGCCACACACAGGCGGTTGAGAGAGGGGTTAAGTTAGTAACAGAAGCGTCTTTGGCTGTCTGTGATGAGAAAAATAGGGATGGTTGAATACGTACAACAATAGAGTCCAGAAAGAAAATGCCTAAATTTAGTACAAAGTCAGAATATGTGGTGAGCACAGAATAATCTAAAATGCCCACATGGAAGGGTGGTTGGGCGGGCAGGGGTGGAAATCGATGGCAGCCACCTCCCCGTGGTGAGTTCTGGGTTATTTTGAGTTTAAGTATTGCTCAAAATAAGCGAAGAGCTGCCTTGTAACAATTTTGTTAATTTTAAACAAATTATTGTGGCGGGGGGCCTAAATGTACTTTAAATTTGAAAAAAAAAATTGAGGACTCAAGAGACCCAAATAAAACATTCCCCAACGCAGGCCTATATTTTTTTTAATATTTATATCTTTTTATTTTTGGGGGCCCGGCGGGGGGTCTAAATTAATTTTGTAAGTTGAAAAAAAATATTTTTCAAAATAAAAGCCCAACCTACAACTTTTCCAACCACAGTCGTTCTAATTTTATAAAAAATACTAAAAAACGACCCACCCTAGTGAACACAGGTGTGAGGTCCGTGCGGACACGGAAGTAATAAAGTGACAGGGGACAGGTCAAGGAATCACCTATTTAAAGAAAAACGAGTCTAACCAAGAGTGGAAGGGGCCATCATCTGCAGAATCTGATAAGTATCAATGCATGACCTAATACGCAAATCTGTAACAAAAACCTGGCAATATTTAATCATTATCGATAACAGCGTATGAGTGTAAAAAACCAAATCAAGTCAGAACGTCACAATATTATATTATTGCATTATGTATATTATATAATATAAGCATAAACTTACAGGCCAGCCCCATAAAATTAAAGCTTTTAAAAGATAACAAAAGTAAAATAAACATTCTAATAAACAAAACCAGCACGTAAAAAGTCTAACCTAAACAAACCATATCTATTAAACTTAAGCAACATCGTTACACGCCTGCCATTAGGGCCGTATTCCAAATTTTAATACATTACACGGTGTAACTTACACCACAGGGCCGGCTTTATTGAATATATATTATTAATTACATATAAAACAAACTTTTACAAAATAAAATGTTTGCTAAGATTTAATTAAAGGTTAATGGTATAATCCATTAATTATAACCATAAAATAAATTTAAGAATATACAAAAAGATTCTAAGAATGTGGGGAAAGTAAAAACAACACCCCAGTGGGGTAAACAACTGCGCGCAGCAGATTCCGAAATCCGGCATACCTGGACAGAGACCCGGATGAAATACAAGACCAGCAAGGATGTCCAAGCAACGTACTAATAACCCCCCATTTATGAACCCCAATTGAATGTTGTCATTACTAAAACCCTGGTTGAGGGGGAGTCCTGATTGTACTTAGATTTGGGTCAGTTCAAGGCCCCCAAAAACCAATTTTTGCCCCTCCTAGTCCTACACTCCACTATCCTAAATCGGGCGTATGATCAACCCGGCGACAAAGTTCCTGGAATGGCCTTAACCATCGACACTGTCATCCACGACCTCCTAGGGAAGATTATCTGCCGGATCCACCAAACACAGGTAACGCTGTGCAGTGGCGGGATACGTAAAGAACCGAAAGGGGGTAAAATAACCGTGGAAGATCAGTGTAAGGCGTGGCTGATGGGGACGTTCTTATACTCATTATACTCATATTTACTCAAATGTTTGTTATAATTACAAATTACTACTCAATAATTTAACAGATTGTAGTTGGTTCTTAACTTAACATAAAGTTAAGTTAAATTAACATAAAAATTGGTTAATATGTGGTTAAAATTAACAAATATTTTTTTACTGTGTATACAAATTATTGCCTTAAGCAAAAAAACATTGTAATATTTTGGACCTTTTGTATTTTTCGCTACATTCTCGATTTCCTGTCACTTGGAAATAAATGGATGTCAGTCAGGTTTCTTAATGATTTGTAGTTCCATTATAACCGTAAAGCGGAATACATTAGTGACAATGACAAACAGAACCTAATTGAAATTAAATTAAACATCAAGAACCTGTTAAGAATATTGTATTTGACAGCGTGTGGCGGGTAGCAGGCATCAGGCAGCAAGCAGGAGAAATAGTATGTATAGAGCTAGACGTCGTCTATTAGGCGGCGTGATGCAGCAGCACACAAACATGGTTGGAACATTCTGGATCCCGGGAGGTTTGCACTCGTTGGATCTGCTGTGGCTGTGCGACTTCAAAGCTGTTCTTGTTGGAAACTCGTTAGTGAGGCAATTGCTGCGTTAAGTCTTTTTGCTTCGCATCGTATCGCCATTATTGCCGTGCGTTTCCTTAATTATAATCTAATAACGCGGAATTTACATAATTAGAAGGGGAAGGACGTTTGATGATGATGCTGGTGGTGGAGCTCTGCGGTTGCCGCAGATGATCGTCCTACATACCCCATTTGCAATTCATTCAAGGTAATTATCGTCGAATTTTCCTGATATTTCCAAATCTCTCTTATGATTCTGCCAAATTGAAAATTAATTACACCAAACGCATATTTTAATAACTTAACTGCTTAAATACCGTTTTACCCCATCTAAATTTATTCTGATAACCTATTTTAGGTTAAGCCACAAAATAAAAACATTTTAACATATTTTGGATTCTTAATGATAATTTTATAGATCGTATAACGAACAGGGTGTTCATTTAAGGAGCAAGGTTAAAATTAAAAGTAAAATTAGGTATGTAAATATAAAAAACTCTGTTTTGAAAGTTTTACGTAATATATTAAATGCTGACAATTGTTTCGCTACACAGTAGCTTCTTTAGAATGTTTGTAGCGAAACAATTGTCAACATTTAATAAATTACGTAAAACTTTCAAAATATAGTTGTTTTTTATATTTACATAGTTAATATAGAGTTTCATCAAGTAAAGGCTGAAACAATTAATAATATTTTTTAAATTAATTAAATAGTGTAAGTTCCAAAGCGCCAATATAAAATATGTTCAGCATATGAGTACCTACATTAGATGCAAAACTCAGTTTTTGCAAATTTTTAAAAATATATATTTTATCCTATCTATGTACATTACTACTGCATACCTAAGTAAACCAGATGTATAAGTTAGTATTTGTAGAATAAAATACATTTAAAAACTTAACGCAGATGCAAAACTGGGTATTTGTTTCTTCCTGTCGGATGCAAAACTCGGTATTTGCTGTTGACCAATCACGCCGCTAGCATCATATTAATTTTAAAAACACTATCTTTATTGAAGGCCTTTTTGAAGCATCTCTAGTCTCAATTCAATTTGAAAATGTTAAAATTATAATATGTTGTCTATATCATCCCCCAGGTTCAAATAAGAAAATTTTTTGCAATCTAATGGAAGAATTATTAATTAAATTAACAAACTTTAAAGGATATAAGGTAATCTGCGGCGATTTTAATTTTAACTTTAACCTAATAAATGAAAACTCCATGGTGGCTAATTTAAATGAAATTTTTAAAAGCTATGGGTTAAAGCAGTGCTTTTTTAATTATTCAAGAAAACTTAATAAATCTATGACCCTTTTAGATAATTTTTTTACCGACTATGATTTAAATAACATTACGTTAAATTTTAACGGTTAAAATCATTTGATTGCACTTTATCTGACCATGATGCTCAAGTTCTAGTTTTTAAATTTGACAGCTGTAGAATATCTAAAAATTATGAACATAAAAGAGTTTTTTCGACACATAATATAAATAGATTTAAAGATTTGCTTACTCATGAGGATTGGTGGAATGTATATAATGCCCCGGATCATGTATCGTCGTCCTTTGACAATTTTTTTGACAATTTCTATGAAATATTTAATTATTCATTTCCTGTTGTTAAAATAAATAAAAAAACAAAAGTTAAAATAAATCAGTGGATTACACAAACTTTAATAAATCAAGGCAAATTTTTAAGAGAACTCTTTAAAATTTATAAAAATACTAATGATGTAAACTTCAAAACTAGATATAGAATAATTAAAAAAAATCATGAGAGTAAAATTAAAAAACAAAAAAAGAGTTTTTTTGACAATAAACTGAAAAACAGTAACAATATATCGAAATCAGTTTGGGAAGTAATAAACTATAATATAAACCACAAATCTAAAATAAATAAATACCCAGATACTATGTTTGACATTGAAAATAGACCCTTACAAAATAAAGAGGATATTGCTAATTCTTTTAATAATTATTTTATAGACTCGGTAAAATCTTTGACAAATGGATCAATAGATGAACATTTTTCTGACGTTTTTATACAAAATAGCCTTTTCTTAGAACCATATAATTACATGGAAACAATAAAAATAATTTTATCAACTACAAATAAAAAATCTTCTGGTCATGATGAAGTACCCTGTAATATTTTAAAACATATTGCAGAAATTATTGCCCCTTGTTTTTAATAAATTTATCCTTTGAAAAAGGCTATTTTCCTCGACAAGCAAAAAAAGCCATAATAATACCTATCCTTAAAAAAGAAAACAAATCCAATTTGCTAAATTATAGACCAGTTTCCCTCTTGAGTATCTTTTCAAAAATTTTTGAAAAGGCCTTTTATGATAGGGTTACTTCATTTACCTACAAGTACAATTTAATAACTAAAAGGCAGTATGGATTTACCCGAGGACAGTCAACACAAACAGCTATGATTTCGGTATACAACAACATTTTAAATTCATTTAATAACAAACTTAAAACTTGTGGAATCTTTTTTGATTTTACAAAAGCGTTTGATACTGTAAATCATAAGTTACTCCTAACTAAATTAAGTTCCTATGGTATTCGGGGAAAAGCTGGTCTCTGGGTAAATTCATACCTATCAGATAGGGTTCAGGAGGTTCATATAAAATATGATAAAAATGTTTTTAAATCAAAATGTTTGAGCATACCAAGCGGAGTTCCTCAGGGAAGTATACTTGGACCACTACTATTCCTTTTTTACATTAATGATCTTGTAAGTAATATAAATCAGGCTTTTATTACAATGTATGCTGATGACACATCGGGTGTGGTAACGGGTGATAGCATACAATCTCTGAGTAGCTCGGCAAATAAATGTGTAAATAAAATGAACTCTTGGTGCAATAAAAATGGCCTTATTCTGAATCCTAAAAAAACACAACTAATAATGTTTCATCCAAAGCAAACTTCCATAAACTACAGTATCTGGGTAAAATGTAATGGTAGTGCACTACGCCAAAGTTCGAATGTTAAGTTTTTGGGGTTAACTTTTGATGAAAATCTTTCTTGGGAGCAGCATATAAGTGATCTTGCTAATAAACTATTGCATGACCCAATTAAGAGAAGTGGTGAATTTACCCACATTAAAGACCTTTTATTATGGAAGTGTCCAATCGATTCTTTCTTATGGAATATTGTGTTGGGGTAATAGCTCCTCTAGTAATAGAATTTTCATAGCACAAAAACGTATTTTAAGGTCTATGTTAAACTTACCCTATAATAGTCATTGTAAAACTTATTTTAAATGTAATCAAATTTTAACCGTCCCATGTATTTATATACTAGAATGTATAGTGTATGTCCGTCTTAATATTAAAGATTTCAAAAAGTGCGGTGATATAAACAAATACGAAACAAGAAATACAAACAAACTCTATGTCCCCACATACAATTTAACGTAAGTATACAAAGGCCCAATAATAACAGCGATAAAATTGTATAACAAGTTACCTAGTAATATTATAAAATTAAATAACTTTCTTAAATTAAAAAATGCTGTATCCTCGTATCTAAAAGAAAGAAGTTTTTATTCTATTGAAGAATATTTTGAACAATAACTACAATTTTATCCTGTTATGCTAATATATGTTTATTTAACAATATGTAAATGTTTACAATTCTTTATGTTTTTTATATTATATTTTAGACGTTTTCCTATACAATTTTGTGAATTGTCGTTTTTGGAAATAAATATTATTATTATTATTAATATTATTATTATTATTATTATTACGTGACGACATAACAATCACCTGATTAATTGTTATTTTTTGGTATTTCCACTTGCAAAACTTGGTCTTTGAACGAGGAAGATGCAAAACTATGTTTTTAAATATTTTGATTACAATTATTTACTAAAATACCTAATTTTAAAGGATTTTTTTTACTTTTTTGAATAAAAATGATGCAAAAGCACGTCTATACAATTTTTGCATTTTTTATTAAAAATGATCTTATGAGCGGTTTTTCATGTTTTTCTTAAAAACTTATGCTTATCCAAATACAGAGTTGTGCATCTAATATATGCTATACCTAATAATGCTTGTATTCGACAATTATTGACAAATACATCGCTGGCACTTAAAACCTTTTTACTATAATTCGGTATAGCATACATATTGTTTATACATGTACTACAGCCCCACTTTGACATTTGAATAAGGAATACAGTCAAATTATAATTATTGGTTATGTTTCTGTCAGTATAACACTAATTTTTTAAAAATAATACAGTATATGCACAATGAATACATAATAATATTGTGCCAAATAATCATTATTTAAAAAAATGTAAATACACTGTTACAAAAATTAGATTTGTTAACATAAATTTGTAGTTTGATAATTTTATTTCGTAAAATTTTAACATAATTTTTTGTAGAAACCAGTGTTTGTAATTATTTTACCAAAGGAAAATATTTTACGGAAAGTTTTAGTTGTATTATGCTAGTTTTAGTTGAAGTATGCAATGTTTAAGAATTTTGTTAATTTTAAAGGTTACAGATTATTTTGTTAATTTTTAACAAATAATTTAGTCAAAAAAATACACGTGATTTCAGGCAGTCAATTAAAACATTTCCCACTGTCAATACGCATCAACAAGTTCAACTGACTTATTCTAGTTCTAATGTTTTCGTAACAACTGTCCAGAGTGTTTATAATATATTATCCGAAGTATACGAAAAAAGATTCACTGGTTTTCAAACTAAAATTAGGATAAAGTGAAGTGGGATAAAGTTACCAAAATTTCTTTAGAATTTGATGATTTCAGAATGGTGTGTAATTGAATTGTGTGTATCTTATTTTGGTGTTCATTTACACAGTACAAAAATATTTGTTAATTCTAACCAAATAATAACCAGATTTTATGTTAACCCAGGTCCACATAACAAACTGTAATCTGTTAACTAATTGAATAAGTAGTTTGTAATTATTACAGATATTTTGTAGATTTAATAACAAAATTCCATGTCAATTTCAACCATAATTCTTGTATGTACTTTTATGTAGACCCAGTATCAAAAGTATTTGTTGTTAATTGGGAACTTTAAAAAAATAATTTGTTATAAGAAATGTTGCTTTATTAAACCATTTTCTAAATAAAACATAATTAACACATACCTACATAAATTAACACAAAAATAACATACACAAAATTAAATAACGTACTATTCTGA